CGATACAAGTATCTTCCAAAAGTGTACCCGGCACACAAAGAATCCTCTAAAAATTACTAACCAGCCAACTTGTTAACTATCTAATGTCCCTTTTATACAACCTCTTTTTATACTTTAATTAGCTATTATGCAAAATGTAAAGTATGATAAAATGTAATGATCGACAAAATATCATATAGTAATCACTTTGATCATTACTTAATTACAAAATAAGCTACAGTATTATATGATTACACAAGAAAAAGTATAATGCTAAAAATGCCACGTCGTTATTCTGTAACAATGGTAAGAAATAAACTATATTTCTTAAATTATTGACTTCCATATATACATACTTTTTTGATGTGGGAAATAACTACTGAACAATGCAATATGTGTTATTTTCGTTGCATATTCTTTTTATAAAGTTTGTGTTACTGTCCGTTGGGAATACAATTAATCGAGATAAACATTAAGATCAAAGTTAAATTCTCTGATTATTTGATCAAGATTAAAGGTCAATTCATATGCAATACGCAAAATCGACAGAATATTTTGTTTTTATATTGTAACGGTTGGTTAGGAGAGCGATGCGCAATAAATCCGCAGTGTAGCTGCAACCGCTACTAGAAGTTATGTGGATTGAATAATAAAAGGTTTCTATAGGGCAGAGTAATTCTATTAGGGCAATTGAATGATGGTGTGAAATTAAGGAGTGAATATCATAATGTCTATGTTACTTTATTATAAGAACGAGGTTCTCCTGTTTATTAGAATAAAGGCTTCACTTTTATACATTTAGATTAATATGAAAAAGAACACATCAGAGGCACCACGCTATCGTGTTAGCCTCATGTCACTATGCGCACACTGAAGGCTTTAACAATCACGACATTAATTTAGTTAGATAATCAATTACACCAAAAAGGATAAGATTATAAAATTAAATTGTTACAATATAAAGATAAAAGGTTTAGCTAATGTTTTTAGTTTTCTCATTGCAATGGATAAATCAAATTCAACAAATATTTCAGGTGCATAACTAAATCTTTTCTTTATATCTAGACTCACTATTAAGTCAATATTCTTATTAAAGATTCTAAGGACCAGACTTTAAAGGTTGAAAATTTATCTTTGAAGTTTGTCAAAAACTTGAAAAAGCCACTCATAAAGTCTACGTACAAAACTTTCCCAAAAATGAAGGTAAAAGCTGAAATACACTATTTTAAATTATTTTACTTTATCTTGTGGTCAAAGTCAAGAGGAAATATTTATAATTAGATTACTTAACTAAAACCGATAACAAAATAATATGCATGAAAATGTAAATCTAATTTAATCCTAAAAATTCAATAAAAATACTAGTTAAAGATAACACAAAAACAAACGAAAATTTATATAGTGATAATGATCCAAGAAATTGGTCCTCAAAAAAGAAGTTGTTAGTTTTGATCATCATAACAATCTGCGGAAGATCATCGACTGTTACGGGAATGTGAGTGCTTTTCCTATTGACTTATAGTTATGTTTTAAATCAATGCTTAAATTCTGGGACACTCGACCGATTAGCCAGTTTACTGGTAATTCCGATTAGGAAATTTATCGTTATACAATTAACAAGAAGCGACCGTTCAAATTCGTGGATGATTCCGGTATGGTTGCACAATTAATAAATAGTTTTTTATATATTTTACAATGCTTCTTTTAAAAGCTCGGGTATCTTAATTTTTTATGAAATGAGAGTAAATTTAACGGATAAATTGATGTTTTTGCTTTGCTCTATAACATATTTTTGAATCCCCGTGAATCCCACAACTTTTTTTTGTAACCATAATTATATAGGAATCATCTACGAATTTGAACGGTCGTTCCTGTTTATACAATTATCATTGATAAAGTCACGAGTTGTACCGGATAACATTAGATTTCTGCGAATATCTATTAGGCAATATATACATATTATGTTTTACGTAATAGTACTGCAGACATAATTCGGCATTAGTTTGGAGCCAGCTAGGCCAATCCAATTAACTTTCCGATCAAAAATTTAATGGGTAGTCTGTCATTATGGTCTAAATATAGTCTTGAAACTTGGAAAGGACCTTTTGCAGTATAATTGTCAATCTAATAAATTTATTTACTACAAAAAGGCCCTTAGGAATGAACCCGATAAAATTGGTTTATTTCAATTCTGAACTGATTCTAAGACAAATTTCATAATATTTTTGCTTTTTAAATTTTAAAATTTCACAATTTTAGGATGCCCTTACCCACGCTTGTTCTTATACAAAAGGATTTTAATGCTTCCGTTTTAGCTATAGATACTTTTGGTAATATTTAACAAAATTAATGAATAAAGATAAATGGTTATAAAATTTGATTAATAACCTATTAAACTGAATTATATCATCTTCGTGCTTTATTTTATTTTATTTATTTTTAATTTGTAGGTTCTGTATTTCTTTTTTTCTTAGGAATAGGGGTAAACCACATTTTATTTATTGCATAGTACTATTCTTTAATTCATTATGCTAATAATGATATTAATTATTATAGCCAATAGTTTGGGCTGCTTGTTCCGATGAACTCGCAACAAGAAAAAAAGTATTTCTCGCTTCTTTTCTGGTACTTGTTTCAGCATCCGTGGCGTGTGCAGTCGCAACAAACATTTGGTTGTTAACAGCAATGCGTGCCATTCAATCTTGTGGTAGTTTTGCTGCATTTCCACTTGGTGCTGGAGTTATAAGTGACATTTACGATCCTCTTGGTAAAATTTTTTAATTATTTAATTTTTATTTATTTATTATATATTCATTTTATAAGATTTTGTTATTAATATTTACAGAACGAGGACGTGCATTCGGAATATTTTACTTTGTTCATTGGATTGGTTATCTAGGAACAATTTTGGGAGGATTCATAGCTCAATATCTTGGTTGGCGTTGGATTTTTGGGATTCTGGCGATTTTTTATGGTTTCCTCTTTATTTTAATATTATTTTTCCTTCCTGAAACGTTTAATGATAATTCTTTAAAAGCCAATCCAAGTCTACGATTTAATCCAATTGCACCATTAAAATTATTCAAATATCCAAATATCACCCTTATTACTATATATATATGCATATCAACTATAATTATTCAAATTCAAAATATTAGTATTCCTATAAACTTTTCTGCACGATATATTTTAACACTTCTGAAATTGGTATATACTTTATCGTACCTACTTTTGGGCTTATGCTTGGAAGTTTATTAGGAGGAAAATATTCGGATTTTTTATCAAAGAAATCAATATCAATTTCTGGTGGTGATTGTCCGGAAGTAAGAATAAAAAGTCTTGGTTTGGTTCATTATTAATTCCAATAGCTTGCATCATTTACGGATGGCTATTAGATATTAATTTTACCATTTATGTACTGGCAATTTTAATATTTTTATGTGAGTTTAATATTAAGATATATATTTATGCTGTTGTATTTTATTAATTTATTTGACTTTTATGCTATTTTTTTGTTTTAATGAAGGTTCATTTGGAATGTTAGTCACATTTAGCACATTATCTACATACCTTGTCGATTCATGTCCTGGACGCGGTGCTTCAGTTATGGCATTAGCTAGTCTTATTAGATTTGGTGTACCTGGTGTTCTAACAATTTTTGAAACTTCTATTGAAGAAAGCTTGGGTGTTCATTGGATGTTAACAAGTTGGCTGGTTAGTAATTTTTAGAGGATTCTTTGTGTGCCGGGTACACTTTTGGAAGATACTTGTATCG